TGGGAGAAAGATGAGGCTTTCTGTTCCCTTAAAGATTTACAGCCTCAGAAACCCTATACAGGGTTGCTATGAGTTGTAATCGACTCCACAGCACATAACCACCACCACGGCATATATATATATGTGTGTGTGTGTGTACATTTATATACATATACATGTATATGGAGTCCTGGTGTGGCACTGTAGGATAAGCACTAGACCTCAAGGTTGGTTGTTAAAACTCATCAGCTGGTCCTCAGAAACCCTATACAGGGTCATTATGAGTCAAAACTGACTTGACAACATACAATATGTGTGTGTATGTGTGTGTGTATATATATATATATATATACATACACATACATGTATGAATACATACATACATACATACATACATGTTGTTGTTAGGTGCCATCAAGTCAGTACCGACTCATAGTGACCTTATACACAGCAGAACGATACACTGCCCCACTGCTCAATCCTGGGCCAAACTCACTACTGTTGCCACGCTTGAGCACACTGATGCTGTCACTTTGCCAATAGACATATGTGTGTATATATACATGTGTATGTATATATATATATGTAGTCCCAGTATGGTGCCATAAGATTAGCACTGGACTGCTAATTGCAGTCCACCAGCTACTTCTTGGAAGCCCTTTATAGGGTCTTTATGAGTCGGAACTGACTCAGTGGAATTTAACAACATATACACATATAAACATATATTTATATATAGAGAGAGATCTATGTTTAGGACCCCTGATGGTCCTTTGGGAAAAGCCTTGGGCTGCTAAATACAAAGTTGAAAGTTCAAACCCACTAGTCACTAAGGGAGAAAGTTGAGGTTGTCTACTCCTGTAAAAATTTACAGTCCCCGAAATTCAAAGTAACAGTTCTACTCTTTTCTGTACGGTGGCCATAAGTTGAAATTGACTCAATGTCATTGTTTTTTGTTTTTTTTTTTTATCACTCATATGCCATATTAAAAAATGCTATGTAATAAGTTATATCCACAAACATGATTTTCCATTTTTCACAAGAAATGTTCTCTAATATTGTAGTTTAGTTATTGTTCTCTTTAGAATTTTTTGTACTTAAGGGGCAGTCATAGACTTTAGTAATCTTTTGTACACAAAGGGAATTCAATAAGTATCTTATAAATCTTTGACTGTCTGTATTGTCACTTAAACACTAATTGTTTTGAAAAACAAAAACAATCAGACCATGTGTATGTATGTAGAATCTGCATATATGTATGTATGTATATCTGTATGTGTAAGTATGGGTTTAGAATCATAAGATAGTTGATTATTTCTAAGACATGCTAGAAATAACTTGTTGTTGTTGTTAAGTGCTATCAATTGCGACCCTGTATAGGGTTTCCAAGGAGCAGCTGGTGAGCTTGAACCACTGAACTTGAAGTTCAAACGACTTTGCAGTCTGACGCATTAGCCCACAGCGCCACACCAGGATTCCAGAAAGAACTAGTTCCTGCTCAATATATATTCTCTACCATAAAACCAAAGCAAACCAAAGTAAACCCACAGCCATCAAGTCAATTCTAACCCTAAACTCTGCATACGGTTTCTGAGACTGTAATGATTTATGGAAGCAGAAACTTGGTGTGGTTAGCAGGTCAGTGCTTAAACTACAATACCACCAGGGCTCCTTCCCTACCACGAAGGCAATTATAAAATGACAGTACTACATTTTTAACGTGTTTAAGGTAGGTATTTATTTTCAAAATAGTTGAATCAAATACTATTAAACATGACTTTATTCTCAATTCCAAGCTTATGTTCTCTGAAACTCAGACACCACCAGTATTTGGCCAAATGTAATCAGTTTACCATCTCACAATATACCTAGTGCCAGAAATATTAGTAGATCTTAATTTGAATTCTGAACCCTTAGGCATATTCTCTGATGTCCAAGCTGTAGTGATTCACCTTTGTACTTGTTTCCTTTTCTGGAAGTGTATTCTATTTGCACTCTTGCTCTTTTACTCTCTGGCTCTTACTCCCTGTTTGTCTCTGTCTTATACCTACAGAGAGAATATCTACTCATTTAAGACATTATGTTAGCAATACCTCCCTCGATAGAGTTAACCTTTTTTTTTTAAGCACTGTACTACAAAAATCAAGGTCAGCAATTCAAACCCACTAGACACTCTGTGGGAGAAAGATGATGCTTTCTGCTTCTGTAAAGATTTACACCTTCAGAAACCCTAAACAGGGTCACTATGAGTCCAAAATGACTCAACTGCACTTAACATGCCAAACTGGTAAATAATCTAACTATAAATTATGCTGTGTTAACATTTGTTTATAAATTTGAATAATTGATTAGTCTTGGTGTGGCACTGTAGGATAAGCACTGAACTACAAGGTTAGTTTGAACTGTAAGGTCAGTGGTTCAAACTCACCAGCCCCACCTTGGAAACTCTACATATGGTTGCTATAAACTGGAACCGAATCGAGGGCACTTAACAACAACAATAAAATACTTAAAGGTATGTCATTATGTACGATGATCATAATGCAGTATTTGGCCCATGGTAAATGTTCACTATATATTAGATGAAGTAAATAACTTCAGAGTCAGTCAATGAGGCCTGGTGATGCAGTGATTGAGTGCTTGTCTGTTAACTAAAGAGTCAGGGATTTGAACTCACTAACTGCTTCACAGGAGAAAAGATCTGGTCATCTGCTGCCATAAATATGGATGTTGTTAAGTGTTGTAGAGTTGGTTCTGACTCATAGCAACCTTGTATAGGGTTCTGAGGAGCGGCTGGTAAGTATGAACTGCCAAATTTGTGGTCTAGTGGTTAGCCCAGAGCCATAACCTATGGGGTGTTCCCGCCTTTCATATGGGATTGCTAAGAGTTAGAATTGACTCAGTGACACAAAAAAATAGCAATGGTTCAGTCTGTATCTTAACAATAATACTTAAAGTTTCTGTAGTCTGCCCAGGCATTTTTATGTTGTTTTCCCATATAAATACAAATGCTTACATGCATATCATAAAAATAACTAATGTATCTAAATGTTTCCATATTAGAAGCAAAATTCTTACCTAGAAAGAAGACATAAAAGTGTGGTGGCTCTGTAGAACAAACTCTGTCCTGTAAACCACAAGGTCAGCAGTTTAAGCCCAGCACCAACTCCATGGAAGATGAGGCTTTCTGTTTCCACAAAGATTTACAGCCTTGGAAACCCTATACTGGGTCTCTATGAGTCAGAATCAACTTGACAACAATGAGCCATTCTACAGCTATTCCTGAAATTCCATAACTAGTTATATTATGTATTAATACATAACATATTACTTGCATTGTTCCCTTCAGTTGGTCCATTGCAGTTCAGTGAATTACTTAATGTGTCTTCTAGCTATAGTCTTTATACAATATCACCAAATGACTTTTTCCTGATAGGTCTGGGTAAGAGAAGGTGGAGAGAGATGCTAATAGATTATATGATTCAGTTGTGAGTGATTGTTAACAGGGTTAATTGTGAACTTGGAACTCTAAAGTGGGTATAAAATGAGCAGGCGGGGGATTTTACTATTATCAAGAAAGAAGAGCCAGGAGTGGAGCATTTCCTTTGGAGCCTGAGATCCTTCCACATAGAACCTCCTCGACCCAAGTCCAGAAGGCTGTGACACCACACTGGAAGAGTGGCAGAGGAGCAGCTAACTGAAGCAGAACCAAGAACCAGAGTATGAGACAGAAAGACAAGTAAAGAGTGAGTAAGCGGATTTACTTCGGACCAGAGTCTTGCTTGCAGAGTGATATACTTCCAGATGCTTATTTGGACAAGATAGGTTTGCTATTTAATGGAGCTAGAATTAAGTACCTTCAGGATGGGTTTATGGTGGAATGGATTCTCCTTTAGGTATGTATCAGCAGCTCTAAAAGACCTTTGTAACATTGCCAAAGCAGGGAAAAAGGCCAGACCAGTGGCCAGAGAAGTTTGTTTACAGGCACAGTTTAGAAAAGTTGTCCTGACTGGAAGAGATTTGCCCTTAGCATTTCTGACCTTGAATTGTAACCTATATGCATGTGAAAGTTGGACAATGAATATGGAAGACCATAGAAGAATTGATGCATTTCAGCAATGGTATTAGAGAAGAATATTAAAAGTACCATGGACTTTCAGAAGAATAAACAAATCTGTGTTGGAAGAAGTACGGTCAGAATGGTGAGACTTATATAGTCTCTCACACTTTGAACATATTATCAGGATGCATCCAGTCCCTGGAGAAGGACATCATGCTTGGTAAAAGGTCACCAAAAAAGAGGAAGACCCCCAATGAGATGGATTGGCAGAGTGGCAGCAGCAATGGGCTCAAACGTGACAACGATTGTGAGGATGGCGAAGGACTGGGCAGTGTTTAGTTCTGTTTTGCATAGGGTTGCCATGAGTCAGAGCTGATGAGACAGCAATATACAACAATATACCCCATAATTGTGAATATTATCTTTAAGTTCTGTGTCACCATTATAATAAATCATGAAATCACAACTGAGTAGAGTGGTGTAGGAGGGATGGTTTGGTGCCATTTTTTCCACTAGTTATAAAAATTACTAGAAGCAATCAATTTTTGAGCTTTTGTCGTATGGAGCACTAATAGCTAGCTGAAGATCCATGTTAAATTTGAACACTATGTTTTGCTCTTGAATGCTGTTGAGTCTATTCTAACTCATGTCTTTTGCCCATGTGACAGAGTAAAACTGCCCTATGGATTTTCTTGGCTGACGGAGACTTAAAATGTACATTAATTCTTTTCTACTTTCAACTTATAAGATAATATAATATCAAATGTAGAACATGCAATGGTGTCATGTATGTATAATTCATAGCTGATTCAAATAAACTATCTGCCTAAGAGCATAAAAAACAATGATGAAAAGGCAAAGGTAATAAGAACAAATGTAATTATACTGAATTTCCTTTTTCAATTATGTAACCTTCCATGTTATCCTTCATAAATATTTCAGAGTAGATATGGCTACTTACTTTTCAGGATTTTCCACTTCCTCAGTAACAAAGTTGAGGTAGAACCTAACAAAATATAAATAAATTACAAGGGATTTTCTAATTATAATCCAAAGTTTTCAGCATTTAAAATTGAACACAGATTTATGAAAACATTACAAATAAATACTTAGGGTAAGATTCAAGACTCCAGCAACCAAATATTCCACAAGCAATTTTTCTATTAAAACAGATTTGTGGAGTGGCTATCATGGCCAGATATATACGGATATGAATGTGGACAGTCCTTAGTCCCTTTTCACAAATTGCTCACATTTTGTAGAAAGCCCCATAAAATGGAGTGATCCAGCACTGTAGGCCATGGTTGAGATAGGCAAAGGGCACCATAGAGTCAGAGGAGGGTTGCCTACCCAGTCTGGTAGTGTCAGGGAAGCTTTCCAACAACAGGCTGTGTCTTCAAGAATGCCTAACATTAAGCCCAGGAGCAGTGGTGTAAAGACATTGCAGACTAAGTGTAGCATATGAGCACAGGAGTGTGGGAGTGCAGCTATGCACAGGGGTATATGCAACCATTTAGCATTTAGCATTTCACAGCTAAGAATAGGCAAAGAGAGTAGGCCAAGAAATTAAATACCAGGAAGACTGCCTTCTGGAAGTCCAAATTTTAATGATAAAAACAGGGCACCTAAAACTTACAATACAACAGAAGTAAGATAGTAGCATTACTCGGCTTTAGGGAACCATTATTGGCTTTCTAGACACAAATGGAGAAGACAAAGGAAACTGAAAATGGAGGTTGTTACAAACTGCCGAGTCAGTTCTGACTCATAGTAACCCTGTATAGGGTTTCCTAGGAACAGATCATGGATTTGAACCACCAACCTTGTGGTTAGCAGTCCAGTGCTTATCCTAAAGCACCACACCAGGAATCTATAAATGGATAAAAGATTATAAATTTTCAATTCATGTTTATTTCTTTCAGTTCATTTTCCAGCATGCATTCCAAATAGTCTCAAGCCATAGGACTATGTAGTGGCTAGTTCTCTTTTCAATATATTTAATCAGTTAGTTTTAGAGACAATATATGCTAAATTGACAACTAGAAAGCAGGAAATTTTGAACATTTCCCAAATTGTGAACACTTTTCTGAGTCTCATACATGAGAAGAAACATTCTATACACACATTCTTTCACTTTCAAGTTCCATAGGATTATAGATATTACCTTAAATCCATGGCCTTAGAGAAATGCATTTGCCTTTCCTTCACTCTGTAACTCTAACACTTGCATCCTTGACTTCTTTTTCTAACCTAAAGGGACTGTCAAGGGCCATTTAGAACACTGACTAATTTCAAGGCTCTAAGATACAAGACGTGGTGTGGTGCTGTGGGATAAAGTACTGGACTACAAGGTCAGTCTAAACCATAAGGTTCAAACTCACCAGCCAGTCTTCAGAAACCCTTTACAAGGTCTCTGAGTCAGAGCCCACTGGACGGTACTAAACAACAACAATAAAGACATAAAATTAAGACAGATTCCTTCTTCAAAGAAACCAACACCAAACTAAACTCACTGCCATCACATAGATTCTAACTCAGAGCAACCCTTTATAGGTTATCTGAGACTATAAATCTTTACAGGAGCAGAAAGCCTCAGCTTTCACCTTCAGATTGACCAGTAGATTTTAACTGCCAGCCATTCCATTAGAAATCCCTGGATCATGAATATATGAGAACTAAGGGATTAGAATGGAAAAAGCTAAAGTTCTAAAGTCTTTCTATCCTTTTCATTTGTTAGGAAATTTTCACAAAATAAAATGTCATTCTCAATGTATATACTGCTTTGTCCCTTTAGTTTTCCAATGCCAAGTGGTTGGAAGATTATTAGCCCAACAAATATTACTATATTTAAAGTATCTCATAACTTAAATCAAAGGTGAAAAGACCTGCCTTACTCTATCACTATAAAAATTCCATGTGAATTTACAAATAAAGCAGTTGCTGTTCCAAGTTAAGGGTGTCTACTATTTTAAGAATTATGTAAGAAACTTTTGAAGAGCTGAGAGAATAGTAGCAATAAAGGTGAGTCAAAAAGTTAGCAGCTAAGAATTTTTTTAATGACTAGAAAGTACATTTCTGAAAATAGATGTTATATTTATACCAGGAAAGCAAGCAACAATCAATACTTATATCTGGAATATGCACTCTAAGGAATCTGATGTATTTGTTATAAGCCTGAGGCAACGGGAAGTACATGGGGAAGGGGAGAAAAAAAAAAAAAGCAGTATTTCGACGTTTCTCTTGTCAAAAATAGCCAGTTCCTTCTTAATAGTTGTTTTAAAAACTGGTCTTTTCCAACAATGTTAATGCAAGAAAGGAAGTTCTTATGAAAAAAAAGAACACAATTTTCCAAATATTTACCATAGCTCCAGAGAATAGGGAGAAGGAAAGGACTTGGGACTGGGCAGGAGATCAGATATAAGACACTTCTTATTTTGATCCAAACATTTACATCCTGTGGGAAACACACCTTCAAGGGCACTTAAACACAAGAACAAGTCTCCAGCAAGGAGCCCAAAGTATCCTCTTTGGTTTACATCTCCACAAGGCCTCTCGAGAATGTTCACAAGACCTATTGTTCCTGCTTCTCCATGACTGTATATAAAAGGCACGGTAGAGCTGGCAATGCAGCTGGATACCCCCAAACTCTGGGAATTATTTTTTTTTTAATAAATGTATTCTTTACATTATATTTGACACAATGGTACAAAATAATCTCAGCAGGTGCTTTAGAAAGCTAAATCCATTGAGGATAAAATTTAAAATGGTGAAGAAAAAGACACAGAAAAACTATTTTCTACCACAGAGTTTAAAAAAAAAGAAATTCCATCAAGCGATATTTAGCTTTGAATCAGGATAAGGGACTGAAATTGGTTGCATTCCCCAGGGCCACAAGGGGGAATGGCAGAAGTATTTCTCTGAATGCAGACATGGGCAATAATATGAAGACTGTTCTGACCTAGTTCTGTGACCTAGCTAGGTTAATGATTTCTTCTACCCTCATCATGTTTCTAGGAAGGAGTTTTCATCCTTCTGGAAAGGCTCTGTGATTCTCCTTGCCAAAAGCCTACTCAATTCAGATTTCCCAAGGTTTGGTAGTCTTTTTTCCTATTCAAATCAGAGGAGCCAGAAATGCTAATCATTAAAGCAGAGCTTCCAAGACAACAAGTCTTTTAGCTGGTAAAATTTAGATGGTAAATTTCAATGACAATCACGATTCTGTCTCTTCCCACTTGCCAAGTCCTCCTCTCCCCCTCCTTTTTTTTTTTTTTTTTTTTCATCAAACACTGTCATAGCAGCTACACAGGGTGTAGAGGCTCATTTATGGTGCTCCATTTTAAATTCTACCACCCAGTTCTTTAATATCATACCAAATAGAGGCAAGAGAGACAGGGCTCCCATTTAGAAAGTGAATACATGCCCCTCCCTCTGGACTGCTGTTAACCTCCATCTTGTTTCATTTACACCCTGATACTAACTTTTCCTCTGAAACTCTACATCAAGAGATTTCATCTAAACACAACTTGCTTTTACTAAAACAGTCAGCCATAGATTATAGTTAGATTATTTATGCCTATTAATAAAGCACTATATGGGTAGCTCAACAACCTGTTATAGAAATACTGTTACTTATCTGTCCCTTACATAAATAAGCTACTTGTTTCAGATAACATTGCATTTAAAATATGAACCTTCTTGTCTAATACTGTGGTTGAATACTCTAGACTATAAGGAAATCTACATTCTCCTGGTCTTTAAGATAAGAAGCAGACATGAGGAATAAATGAGTGGGTATAAATAACTACAGGTTCACCTTAACCCCCTAACTCTATACAAACAGTGACATGTTGGATTCTGTACCAATAAATTATATATTAACATAGTACAGTAATTCAAAATGTAAAAGGTCTTTATGCATGGACAGTTTGATCAAGCCTCAAAAACATATAGAAATGGAAAAAACTTGTTCAAAATAGTAAAAAAGCAAGTGACCTGAATATTCAGTGCTGACTGGTAGGAGAGTAGGAAAGACAAAGAAAGATTTTCAGATTCTGTGGGAACAGATGCATTGTACTTACAGGAAAAAGAAACCATTCAACAGAATTAATCAAATCTCCTTTGTGACTATCCCCACATTCCACATTCTTGATTCACTATTGCTGTGCTCCCCACACTCAGCTCTTGCTGAAAGCTTTCACCACCTCCCTACTTTGCTCTGCCATCTCCCTGTGACCCTTCCTAGTAGCTTGGCTGCTGCCCCAGGGTTCCGGAGCTGATCACAGGCTGAATAGCCATGGGACAGTTGATTTTGCTACTAACCCTGTGATCACAACTCAGTTCTTTTCTCTGCCCAGCACCACATTGTGCTTTAGACAAAAATTTAAAAAAGACTTCAAAAACACCAAGGGACTTAAGACTAATGCTTGTACACAATAACTATAAAAATACTTTCTGGGAATATACAAATATTCAACCCAAGTCTCCTCAGAGCTACAATCTAACAACCTGCAGATATATTTTGCTTCAAAAGTCATATTATAGTCTTAAATCCCTTACTCCCCTTATAGGAAGCATAGTGGTTCCGTAAGATAAGCACTAGTCTGTAAATCACAAAGTTCACAGTTTGAGTGACCCAGCTGTTCCATGAAAGAAAGATGAGGCTTTCTGCTCCCACAAAGATTGAAAGCATCGGAAACCTTACTCAGGATTATTATGAGTCAGAATTTACTGGATAGCAGTTAAACAACAACACCCCTTGTAGGAGCATGGTGGAGCCATATGATAAACACTGGGCTAAGAACCACAAGAATGCAGAGTTCAAACCTGCCAGTTGTTCCACAAGAGAAAGATGAGGCTTTCTGCTCCCTCAAAGATTTAAAACCTTGGAAACCCTATACAGAGTTGCTATGAATCAGAACCAATCAGATAGCACTTAACAGTAACTTCCCTTATTATCATCTACAGGTAGTATTTCATAATTTGATGAGATTAATAGGGTAACACTCCATTTATTTTGAAATATATCTAAATTCCATGCATTGGCTGGAAGGTAAGATACTAAAAAGTAAAGAAACAAAAGAAATTTGTTTCTTTACTTTGGGGGAGAAATGTATTTACTAGTTTTCTAGTATAAATTTATATTCACAGAATACTCTCACAGCTAGCTAAAGTTGTACAACTATTATATCTACAACTATTACAATCGGTATATCGTTGTTTATTACTCCAAAAGAATGAAATTTAATCTTATTATTATGCTTCAGGGGTTTAACTTATATTTTTCTACCTTAACTGATTTAATGGTCAATAAAATGTCATTTGCACAATGTTCCACCTCTTATCTATGATTGTATTCCAGTGCCTAAACAATTCAAATACAATCTTCCATTATCACAGCTGGACATACATCAAAGGAAATGTATAAGTAACATGGTAATTTTAATCATCTTTACTGTTTTTTGCTTTCAAATGGGAGAATTTTAAGGAATTTATAAAATTCTTTAAAAATGCAGCTGGTTGTCAGATGCCCCCGATTTTATTATCTTGATTTCTCATTTCCTGCTTTTATAATACTATTTTTACCTCCTAACATAGTTAATTTTATATTTGAATTATTTTTCTTTTTCATAGGGAGATGGAGAATAATCATAAATTACTTTCTGTAAAAACCCTTGCAGCTTCAAATGAAAGGAATTTTGACAAGCAAAGTGCTAATCTTTAATACCTAGTATCATTCATAATCATATACTTACTAGTATATTATCATAACTAATTTGAATCCGCTTGTAAGACTCAACTTTTTTTTTTTTTTTTTTTAATCAGGGTAAAATTAATAGTCGCCTTCACTGTTTACATGTTTTACAGTTGAGGTTGTTATTGTTGTCAAGTGCCATCATGTTAGTTCCAATCTGTAGTGACTATGTATAGGGTTTCCGAGGAGCAGCTGGTGGATTTGAACCATCAACCTTACAGTTCAAACTGACTTGCAGTCTAGCGTATTATCCGACAGAGACATACCCGGACTCCTACAGTTGAGGTACATAGTACACACAGTCCACCAGATCCCTAGACATTGACTTACCAGCCAGCATAGGCATACATTCCATAATAGAAAGCCAGTGGCAACCTCATAATACTTGCATCTCTTCCTATAAAGGCATCTTTAAAGTACTGTGTTTGCCCTGCAATCAAAATAGAAAGATTTTATGACTTAGTCAATTATTATGCATTATTTCACCATAGACATATCACTCTTTAAATGTATGAAAGATTGTTGTTATTGTTAAGTTCTGTTGAGTTGGTTCCAACTCATAGCGACCCTGTATAGGGTTTCCAAGGAGCTACTTGTGGGTTTGAACCTCATCCACCTTGCAGTTCACAGCAACCCAATGGGGTCCAGTGCTTATCCTACAGAACCCTAAAATTACAATGATCACCACCAACACTATTCTGCATTTCTATTTTAAATAAAATTATAGAAAAGAGGAAAATGAAATTAAAATAAAACTAAAGCATTATTTATTAGAGCATGCCTAGACTCTTGACAGAGTCCTCAACTGGTGGTATAATCACTGACTGCTAACCACAAGGTCACTGGTTCAAGCCTACTTGCTGCTCCTCAGAAACCCTATTTTGTTGTCGTTAGGTGCCATCAAGTTGGTACCGACCCATAGTGACCTAGAGGGTCACTATTAATAGCAACCAGATAAATGACACTTAACAACAACAACTCTTGAAAGAAATTTGTCATAAAGAAGACTAATTCATTTTTAGAAGTATGATATAAAATAAATAAATATATAAAAGACATTGCCATAGAATCAATTCGAATGCACAGATACCCTATTGGACAGTGTAGAATTGCCTCATAGAATTTTCAAGACTAATCCTTGTGGAAGTCAACTGCCACCTCTTTCTCCCAGCTGGGTTCAAACCATCAATTTATAAGTAAAGTCAAGCACTTAACCACTGAACCATGAGAGCTTTTTTAGCTGTCTGATAAAATTCTTCTAAGTGAAAGTAATGTAATGGTATGTAATGAAGAAATTCAAAGAAATGTCCAAGGACCTATTCTCAATGAAGAGTTAAAAGGAAACCCCAGAACTGCTTGCCCTTATTATTTAATTTTCTATTTTCTGTTTATCCTCTGTAGCTCATTAGACACCTAGCTTCTGAACAGGGGTTGGCAAAATACCACCTGTGGATCAAATCTGCCACCCTCATTTTATTGGAGCAGAGCCAGATGCATTTATTTACATATTGTGTGTTAGTGGCCCAGGCTGCATCAGTAGAATTGAATAGTTGTCACACAGAACACACGACCAACAAAGTTAATCACATTGTTAGATGGCCTTTTTTTTTTTTTTTTTTTAAATGTTTTATTGTGAATTATGTGATAGTTTACATGGGAGAACATTAGTTTTACATTCATCCTATTGTAGTTCATTTCATTGTCATGGTTACAATCCCCTCCATGCATCATCAACCAACCAAAGGGTATACCCTTCAAGCCTGCCCCACAAGTCATCAGCACAAAGCCCCTCTCCCTCTTTGGGTCTAGAGTCCCCAGCCACTCCATCTCTCCACGTCATCATCTCTGCCTCCATCTCTGGCATCACTGTTTCTCTGGGTAGGGTCCCAGATTCTGCTCTTCTCCCTTGATGGTTCCAGGGCCCTCTGCTCCTGGACTGAAAAGTCAACCACTCCCCTCCTTTTGCTACAAAATATCTATGTAACTTTACATCTCCAACCCTCACAGTCAGCCCTGATAGTAATTATTCACTATTGTACCACATGTGTGGTATCCGCATCTCCTTTCATCAGTCCCGCCCAGATAGATTGGATGCTACTCAGTGGAGATTTTACCTTCCTCTGCACCCTCTGGATTTAGGCTCCCTCTTGAAAGCCTGTAAACCAGTCAATTCTTGCCTTTGTAGCCACTATAAGACCTTTTACAGAAAAAGTTTTCTGACTCTTTTCTGAAGACTAACATCCTTATAAGTAAAATGAAAAACAAATTATACCAGACTCTAAAACATGTTTTTAAAAAGGTTTTATCAATATGTGGATTAAACACTTTCATGCATCATACTTTTCTATCGTGTGTGAATCACAATTGGCCTACTTCTTACATACATTTTTTTTAAAAAAATAAGCCTTCAGATTTACTTCAATCTTCTAATAAAAAGAAATAGTAAATGAAATTATCTAAATGGGAAATATGTCTTTGTTTTAAAATTAATCTTCATATAAATAAGAACAGGGAGACTGGAGATGGATGGTGTGTATAAGATACTATCTTTTCAAAGTTATTAAATCAGTTGCTTCCTGCATTGCCCAGATACAATATATTGATATAAAAGGTATTGAAATAAAAAGTGGAGAACACTGAATGATGCACTAAATGAATTTTTTCTTAAAGCACCTAATTTCCCAAATAAAACTCATTTTTAAAATGGTACAGTTAATGCAAAAATACTTCTGTTTTACTAATTGCATCACCATGATCTTATTAAAGGGAAGTAAAAATGCCAAAATTTAGGGGGAAAACATACATTGAATATTGTCATGATTTGTGGGCTCCTGGATGTAAACCTGAAACCAAACTCACTGCCATTCATTTGATTCTGATTTATAAAAACCCTACAGGACCAAGCAGAACAGCCCGCATAGGATTTCTGAAGCTGTGAATCTTTATGGAAGCCGACTGCCACATCATTTTTCCACAGCCTGCCTGGTGGATTTGAACAGCTGACCTTTCAGTTAGCAGCTAAGTGCTTTTAACTGCAGGACCTCCAGGTTTTCTTCACCTTGACCTAAAGGGGGCAGTATCCTTTAGGCTGCAGCATGAAATTATAAGAAAAATTATATAGAGGTCAGATCTCAAATACAGCTCCTGACAAGTCTTATTTTGAGACAATTATAAAAGAGAGGCATTTCTAAACTTTATGGATTTGTTGGCTGAGTAACATAGGCGTCACAATGATGAAAGTCATGATAGTCACTGAAAGCTTAACAAATCTCCATGAGTAAATAAAAAGCACACAGACATTTTCAGGATCTGATTAGAATAGAAATAAGTTTTTATTTGTAAAGTTTCTGGGGTTTCAGATTAATGAGAGAAATGTGTGATCAAGTTAGAGATATAGCAAATCACTTTTTTCTTTTTTAATTATAGGAAACATGTCCCTGCTAATAATATTCTCCAAAATATTAAAATTGACTTTAAATTTGGTGAGCTATTTGAAGCAGACTGGTCAAATTAGCATTTATATCATACTGTTAATTAAGATATCAATCTGTTGTTGTTAAATGCCATCGAATCATTTCCATCTCATAGGGTTTCCAAGGAGTGACTGGTGGGTTTGAACTGCTAACCTTATGGTTAGCTTGCAGTTAGCAGTCCAGTGCTTATCTTACTGCAGCATACCAGTAAGTGCTAAAAAACTGTTCATGAAACATATCATGACCCCTGCTCTCAAGAACTCACAATAAAACACCATCTGAGCAACCCATTTCCAACTCACACATATATAAATGAACTGACTACAGCCTATAATGTTCCCTTACATTACAGCAAAAATAAAAAGAAGAAACTTAGAGAAAATTACTTCATTCTGTAGTACCTAAATTCATATTAAATCAGCGTCAATTACATAGGATTTGTGTACTTTATAAAAACTGTTAACAATACTTATGGAAGACTAAAACGCCATGCAATCAAATAAAAAAGCACTAACTAAACAGGTTAGTTTCCCTAAAATTCTAATGGATCAGCTATGAGTAGACCAGATCTGTGGCGGCCAAGGTGAATAAGAAGAACAAGATCATGCCTTCTCCTCAGAGTGAGCTACATAGCATTAAAAACCCTGTCCTGTATTTATTCTGAGGTGGATGAGGTGGCTGAATTTGATGTGAACATTTTGCCAGCAGGAATCAAAGATCTCCCACTAGGCTTATTAAATGGACAACAGCAGCTCCCTTTCCCCAGCTACAAAGTGACTGATCTTTCAATGTTTGCTTAATGCCTCTACCAAGAGCCATCATTCTGCTGAACTTTGACATTTCTTCTCGCCTTGAGTAATTCTCCTGCAAGTTCATTAAATTTCTCTATAAATTTCCCTTCTTGGATCGGACAATATCAGTGTAAACATTAAATACTTAACATGCCCATGTTGTGTGCCACTCCTTTCCAATTTAGCTAACATTCCTATTTATTTCCTACTCTTGTGCCTATTGCTAATTAAATAACTCACCTGACCTTTCCCTCACCCAACAACTTCCACTGGATTGCATGTGTCTTCTCCCCTAAAACAACTAAAACTCTAAATGATATCATGACATCACCCACTCAACCATCTCATCTTTCCCTATTAAATACTAAATAAGGCTAATAATGCCAGGAGATAGTGTTACACTTTGGTAGAAATGCAAATTTTATATGAAACATAACAATAAAAATGTAAGCTTATTACTGTTTTTATTGGCAAATAATAGTTGGTTTTTATTAAAGCTAACTATCCTGGTGTGGCACTGTAGGATAATCACTTGACCACCAGGTTGGTTTAAACTGCGAGGTCAATGGTTCAAACTTACCAGCCGCTCCTCAGAAATTCTACAAAGGATCGCTATGAGTTGAGACCAACTCAAAGGCACTTAACAACAACTATCCCTATAAGTGATTTTCCTTCGCAAACAGGAATAATAATCATAAATTAGGTATTACTGATTATCTTTCTCTTTTTTTCAACTAGCTTTTACTTCTTAATCTTTGTTACTAGCAATGACTCCATGGCACACCATCACCACCAACATTGAGTAATTTTAAAGTAAACATAAGGGCACATAATGATGTGCAGTTAAAACAGGCAATTTTTTTTTTTTTTTTTGCTTTGAGTTTTCACTCCAATTTATCAAGTGATATCACTTATGCCTTATTTTGTTACTTTCCCTAATTTTAATCATTTTAATGACATTCAATTGTAAATACCAACGCAGCCCCTCCCCTCCAATATAGCAGTCTTTCAAGTCAATTATATAGTTTAAGTTCCACAAGTAGAGACTAATTAAGGGATTCTGCTAGTACAAGCGAAAGTTAGTATTAGAAGAGACCAAAAGCAGATAACGTATTTTAAAAAGCATTTACTTTTCAATCCATACCTTTAATTAGCTGCATAACTCCAGGGACTATAATTATCAGAATTGCCGTAAGCTTGCAAAAGGTTAGGAAAATCTGGATCCGGGCACTCCAACTGACACTCATGCTATTTAGGACCATCACTATAGCTGCAAAGAAATAGATGGAGTTACAAATGGTGAATCCTCATTGGAACAAAGACATTTTAGCTCCTCAAAGTGTGGCTCATGAACCAGCAGTGTTGGTATTGCCTAGAAGTGTGTTAAACATGTAGAATCTCAGGCCACGCCCCAAACTTACTAAAATTAAATCTGCATTTAGACAAGATTTTCAGGTGATCTACATATTAAAATTTAAGGAGTTGTGCATTGTTCTCTGTTCCTTAGAGTCCCTGTGAGTTGTAATAGACTTGACAGTAGTGGGTTTGTTTTATTTTGGTGTTATTCTTTTTGTATGTCAACAAGAATAGATATTTTAGTGCTCTAATAATCACATAAAAGCATCTTCCAAGTGAATCATCAAAATAGGCAACAGGATTGCTAAATTAGACTCTTTAGCTCAGTATAGCAGCTAGTTGTTACTTGATGGTAACATTTCTCTCACCTGCCACTGTGAATTACACTCAATATAGAGAAGTTAGTTGAGATCTTATTCTTAACCTTTAGAACTAGTCTTGTTGTTGTATGCCATCGAGTTGATTCTGTCAACACATATAGACATTATATAACAGATTAGAATTGCCAGTGACTCTGTAAGACAATCCCATTGCATGCTTTGATTACTTCACAAGTCAGCTAGAAGCTATTTTATGCAATTATTGGAGCACTATAATATCTATTCCTGTTGACATACACAAAGAACCACCCCTAAAGACAAAACCACTACTGTTATATCCATTCCACTTCTATATGACAACAAGTTCAGGGTGAAGCTGAAGACAATTAAAACAAATCCACAAAATTGAAACTATGATTGACCATATCCCACTTAAATATAGACTATCTCAGATTATCACAGGACTCTGAATCACAAGTTTGGCAGTTCAGGACCACCAGCTGCTCTTCACAAACCCTATACAATGTGGCTATGAGCTGGAACTGACTCATTGGCACTTAACAACAACAAAGAAAGATCTGATGCATTAGACATTAATGAACAAAGACCAGAAGAGCTATGGGATGATACCAAGAATATCACACAAGAAGAAAACAAAAGGTCATTAAAAAGACAAGAAGAAAGAAAAGACCAAAATAATTACAAAAAGAGACTCTGAAACTTGCTCTACAGCATACAGATGCTTAACCAAATGGAAGAAGTGAGATAGTAAACAAGTTGAACAGAAGATTTCAAAAGGCATCATGAAAATACAAAATCAAGTATTATAATGAAATGTGCAAAGAACTGGGAAGAACATGCTCGGCATTTCTCAAGCTGAAAGAACAGAGGAAAATGTTCAAACCTGGTTTGAAATGTTGCAGGATTCCATGGGCAAAATATTAAATGATTCAGAAAGCATCAAAAGAAGTTGGGAAGTATACACAAAGTCACTGCACTAACAATAAATGGTGGATGTTCAACCATTTCAAAAGGCAGCATATGATCAAAACCAATGGTACTAAAGGAAGAAGTTTAAGGGGAACTGAAGGTATAGGCAGTAAAACAGGGCTCTGGGAATTGACAGATTACATTAAAATCTTTAAACAAACCAAAGCAGCACTGGAGGCACTCACTCAACTATGACAAGAAATCTGGAAGACAGCTATCTGGTTAATCTATTGGATTAGATCCATATGTGTGAGTATTACAATAAGAAGGTGACCCAATGGAATGTGGAATTCATCGAACAATACCATTAATATTACATGCAGGTAGAATTTTGCTGAAGATAAATAAAAAATGGCTGCAACAATACATTGATAGGGTACTTCCATAAATTTTAACTGGATCCAGAAGAGGACATCATATTATGGATATTATTGCTGATATCATATGGATAGTGACTAAAAACTGAGAATAACAGACAGGTGCTCACTTGTGCTTTATTGACTACTTAACGTCTTTCAACTGTGTGAATCATGACAAGTTATGGATAACATTTGAAAGAATGGGTGTTTCAGAACACTTGATTGTGCTCATGAGGAAGCTATACATAGACCAAGAGGCAATTGTTCAAACAGAACAAGTTTTAACATCAGGAAAAATGTGCACCAGTGTTGTGTTCTTTCACTATACTTATTCAATCTGTATGCTGAGCAAATAATGTGAAAAGCTGGATTATATGAAGAAGACTGACATTAGGATTGAAGGAAGATTCATTAACATCCTGCAATATGCAGATGATACAAACTTGCTTGCTGAAAGCAAAAAGGACTTAAAATACTGGTGAATATTTGGTATCAGTAATGGTTAAGAAAAGAGCCCTGGCAGCACAATGATTAAGCAGTCAGCTGCTAACCAAATGGTTGGTACTTCAAACTGATGAAGATCAAAGACCATAGGCTTCAGTATGGATTTTACCTCAATGTAAAGAAGACAAAAATCCCTACCACTGGACCAATATATAACACCATAGTAAATGGAGAAAGATTGAGGTTGTCAAGATTTCATTTTGTTTGGATCCATAATCAACATTCATGGAAGGAGCAGTCAAGAACTCAAAGGATGCATTGCATTAAGCAAATCTTGCTGCACAAGATTCAAAATGCTCAAAAACAAAGCTATCAGTTTAAGGACTAAGGTGCATCTGTACCAAGCTATGGTTTTTCAGTTGTCTCATATGCAAGTGAAAGTTAGACAATGAAGAAGGAAGACCATAGCAAAAATAATGCATTTGAATTATAGTGTCAGAGAAGAATACTGAACATACCATGGACTGCCAGAAGAAGAAACAAATATGTGTTGGAAGATGTACAGCCAGAATTCTCTTTCGAAGCCAGGATGAAAAGACTTCATCTCTCATACTTTGGATATATTATCAAGATGAACCATTCCCTAGACAATGACATCATGATTCATAAAGTGGAGGGCTGGCCAAAGAGAGGAAGACCCCAATGAGATATATTGGCACAGTGGCAGCAGCATTGGACTCAACTGTACCAATCATGAGGATGGCACAGGACCAAGCAGTGTTTAGTTCTGTTATGCATAGGGTCACTATGAGTTGGAACCTACTCAACACTTAGCAACAACAACAACAACAACAACTATCTGACAAAGTAGAGTATGACAGGAGCAGATCATCAGGCCTTTTGTTCTGTGGAATTTCTGGTGGGTTCAAACCACAGAACTTAACCATTGCACTATCATGGCTCTTTAGGAGTAGCTTTAGCCATTACTTTTGTTTTAGTTTTTATCTCTCACTTTCCTATTAGCACACCAAAGAGATATTCTGGCACCTTAGCATAAGCACATGACCTCAAGGTCGGGTTGAACCACAAGGTTGGTGGTTCAAACTCACCAACCCCTCTTCAGAAACCCTATATGAGATTGCTACGAGTCAAAACCAACTAGATGGTACTTAACAATAACAAGATATGTTATAGGGTTGTATAAGTAACCATCCCAAAAGATTTCCCAGACTAGAATGCACAGTCTGAAACCAGTAAAATTTCTTTTCCTTAATAATGTTACATTCTATTTCCTAAGCAGCAAACTTATCTACCCTTCTTTCTTTGTAGACAATGAGCCCTTCAGAATAGACCTAACATTATTCACCTCTTTATTGCTATTATCCACTTCCATGCCCATCCCAGATAATCAACATATTTTTGTTGTTGTTCAATTCATTAATTAAATGGAATCCCAGTTAAAAGAGACCATCTTCAGTCAAAGAGATAGGTTAATGCCCTAGGACCCTAGCTCTTGTACTCCACTGGAATGACTTCAGCAATTCTAGACAATGGATTCCAACTTTCTGCTCTTTCCACAACTTTATAATTAATGCTAACAACAACAACAACAACAATAATGTCACTTTTTTGGAAGTTTGAACTCATTGTCTGTAAGCTTTATTTTTAAAACGCTGAATTTATCCTACTTTTACAATTATAAAAAATATACAGAAAGATCTCAAGAGGAAAAAACAAGTCACCCATGATTTAAGCTGTATATGAGAGTAGGTTTTGTACAGTATGTATGTTCTTGTTGTTAAGTGCCATCAAGTTGGTTCTGACTTATAGCCACACTGCATAGGGTTTCCAAGAAGTGGCTGGTTAGTTTGAACCACAGATCTTGTGGTTCAAACTGACCTTGAGGTCGTTTGATTTATTCTAAGGTGCCAGCATGTCTTCCCGGTGTGATAAAAGGACAGTGAGAGGAAAAACAAAAGTATTGGCTAAAACTACTCCTAAAGAGCTATGATAGTGAACAGGAGCCTATTAATTTCCTCTTCTGAAAGGTCTATCTCTGTTCACTGATAAAAATTAATAACTTCCTAATTTGGAGAAGGTAAAGAAAACTGCTACTTGAGAAATGCATCTGGTAATCAAAATTTGAAAGAAGATTCTTATCATGACTGTCAGTACGTAGTTAAAAGAATACTAAAAGTGACAGCTTCTAACATTGTAAAATGTATGTAAATAACAATCTACCTAACACATAAACATAATTCTGTAATAATAAGTGAGTTATAATTCCACATGATTGCTAAGGTTGCATAATTTTTTATTTGAAAATCCATAAAGTAATTAGGTTTTCATCTTTAGGTCTCTTTTCATGTATAATCCAATTACTATTTAATTAACAATGTGGTTTTTGTTTCCCAATACAAAAACTGATATGTAATGTAATATCAAGGCTCACTCCAAATTTCTATTACTTTCTTTATTCTCAAAAATAAACTTGGCAAGAAAATATAAACACAAGGAACACAATGCGGTTATCAGTCCCACCATACCAAAAAGATTGTATAAACTGTCACCAATCTCTTTGTTGTTTTTTTCGTGTTTACAATTTTAATACTCACTTATGCCCACAGCTGTAATGAGCTTGACTGCAAGTTCAGGAATCTCACAGTGAATAAAAAATGGTTCCAGAATATACCGTCCAAAGGCCAGGGATATCACTGCAGTGGCCGCAGGGCTAGAAAAAGAAAATGAGAAAAAGGAAAAACAAAAGTATCATTCCCACTAAACATTTTTCTTCCTTGAAGTATCATTATACAACATATTTATTGATCTTGCTGAGTGTCACTGAATCAGTTCTGACTCAGAGTGACCCTGTATGGGATTCCATGGAGTGGTTGGTGAGTTTGAAGCCCCAACCTTGTGGTTAGCAGTACAGTGCTTATTCTATGGCATCACACCAGGACTCCACATAACATATAACCATGTTAAATAAGAAAATCTATACTTTTCAGGATTCTGTATTTGATTAGACTTTCATAGACATTACAAATGAAGCACTGGCAAATAACACTGGTAGCTAATTTTATACTTTAAATATCTTTCAGAACAAGACTGGCACTATGTATTTTACCACCATTCTCCCATATTTTTTTCATTTTATCATTCAAAATCCAGCTTATTAACCAGTCTTCTTTCCTCTTATGTCTGTAATTGAACTGTAGCACAGGATGAAGTTGTTAACTAGTACAGATCTAAATTTCATGGTCAGGAGATAAATTTAAAAATCAGCTTTTTCCCATACAGTTGGCCCTTGAAAAATATGGATTTGAAGTATGCAGATGTTTGTTTCATGTTGCCTTTGAGGTGAACTCAAATGTTGTGACTATCTGCCTACGACACCATATGACTCTCAACATCTGTGTCTGAGCAGTTTGTCTCTCCTGCAGCTGCTAGCCCCTCACTCTCAATATCCCTGTTGAAGGGTCAATTATATTCATAATTTTTTCTTTGAAAATAGACTTTCATGTGCTTGACATTATATTATCCATATTTGTCTATATACACAAAATATCAAAGACCTGATGATTAGTCTTAATTGCATAGAAATATTTCAATATAAGTTGAAAACTAAAAATCCTCTTGTAATTTTACACAATTGAAAAAGCATACAATAGAGTAGAAAATGAAATGAGTTTAGGTATATACTAAAACAAGTAGAAAGTCATTCTATTTTAATATTTTTAAATTATTTCTGTGGGAAAATTATGGTTTTTAAATACAAGTGTAAGTCAAGAAGTATTGCTACAAAATCATAGAAATCTTTATAAAGCAAAAATATCAAAATGTGAAGCTATTATTATTCAACACATCTTCCATATAGGTCTATACATTTCTGAAGGTGATATTCACATCTGGTATGACACTATAGGATAAGCACTTAAACACAAGGTTGGTTTGAACTGCAAAGTTGGCAGTTCAAACTCACCAGCAGCTCCTCAGAAACCCTATACAGGTTCTCTATGAGTCAGAACTGACTCGACAGCACTTAGCAACAACAAGCCGTCCCCAAAAGAATTCTACACTCTTCAATTTATACTACATCAAACTGTTAGCTTAAAAATCCTCAAATTATGTATTGTTCAAATGTTCTTTGAGTATTGGGAACAAAAAGTCTGAATATGCAAAGTCAGGACTGTAGGGTGGATGGGATAAGGTTCCCTGACTAAATTCTAGTAGAGCAACACTTGCTGCATTTGAAGAATAAGCAGGTGTATTGTGATGGGGAAAAAACTCCTTGGTGTACCTTTCCTACTCTTTTCCTCAAGAATGTAATTTTCAATGTTATCAAATCTTTTTTCCTAATTGCTGTTATAATGTGCCATAGAGTTGGTTCCAACCCTTAGCAACCATGGATAGGGTTTCCAAGGAGCAGCTGGTGAGCTTGAACTGCCAACCTTGATAATTCTGTATATTTTGAGAAAATCTATCAAGATGATTCCATTGGAATCTCAAAAAAGAAAAAACAAAAAAACAAACAGTTAGCATACCCTTCTGAGCTGACCTCTCTGCCTGGAACTTATCTTGTCCAACAGATCTTATCAGAAACCATTATTTTTATTGTACCTCTTTTTTTGTCTCAAGGCACCCTAACAAAACTAAGAGGACAAGTGTATTGCTGAGAGAACTTGTCTGAAGCCATCCACTGTTGACAGAGACATATTAGAGCATGTTTTGTTTGCAATATACATTTGTACATGTGAGCTAGAACCTTAGTTTCAATACTTTGTGACTTATCCTGATAACACTGTTGTTGTTGTTAGGTGCCATCGAGTCAGTACCAACTCATAGCAACCTTATGCACAGCAGAACGAAACAATGCCAGATCCTGGGCCAACCTCACTACTGTTGCTATGATTGAGTCCATCGATGCTGCCACTTGGCCAATCCATCATGTTGGGGGGGGGGGTCTTCTCTTTTTCTCTGACCCTCCTCCTTACCAAACATGATATCCTTCTCTAGTGACTGGCCTCTCCTGACAATATGTCCCAGTAAGAGAGACGAAGTTTGACCATCTTGGCCTCCAAGGAGCACTCTGGCTGCACTTCTTACATATGGACCTATTGGTTCTTTTGGCAGCCCATGGCACTTTCAATATTCTCCTCCAACACCATAACTCAAAAGCATTAATTCATTTATGGTCTTCCTTATTCACTGTCCAGCTTTCACATGCATATGAGATTATTGAAAATACCATGGCTTGGATCAGGCACACCCTAGTCCTAAAGGTGACATCTTTGCTCTTCAAAACTTTAAAAAGGTCTTGTGAAGCAAGACATTTTTTTTTTAATATTTTATTTATTTATTATTGCCTAATGCAGAGGATATGCAGATGATACAAGTTTGCTTACTGAAAGTGAAGAGGACTTAAAACATTTACTGATGAAGATCAAAGAGCACAGTCTTCGGGTTGGATTGCATCTCGATGTAAAGAAAACAAAAATCCTCACCACTGGACCAATAAACAATATTCTTATCAATGGATAAAAGATTGAAGTTGTCAAGGGCTTCATTATTCTTGGATCAACTATCAACACTCAAGGAAGCAGCAGTCAAGAAATCAAACGATGTATTATTGCATTACGCAAATATGCTGCACAGGAACTTTTTAAAGTGTTGAAGAGCAAAGATGCCAGCTTGAGGACTAAGGGGAGCCTGACCCAAGCCATGGTATTTTCAATAACCTCATATGCATGTGAAAACTGGACAGTGAATAAAGAAGACCAAAGAAGAATTGATGCTTTTGAGTTATGGTGTTGGAGGAGAATATTGAAAGTGCCATGGGCTGCCAAAAGAATCAGTAAATCCGTTTTGGAAGAAATGCAGCCAGAGTGCTCCTTGGAGGTCAAGTTGGCCAAACTTCCTCTCTCATACTTTGGATATATTGTCAGGAGGGACAAGTCACTGGAAAAGGATATCATGTTTGGTAAGGTGGAGGGTCAGAGAAAAATAGGAAGACCCCCAATGAGATGAATTGGCCAAATGGCAGCATCAATGGACTCAAGCGTGGCAACAGTAGTGAGGTTGGCCCAGGACTGGGCAGTGTTTCATTCTGCTGTGCATAAAGTCGCTATGGGTTGGTACTGACTCAATGGCACTTAACAACAACAACAAATACAATAGGTCATTTGATTTCTTGAATGCTTCTTCCGTGAGTGTTGATAGTTGATCCAAGAAGAATGAAGTCCTTGACAACTTCAATCTTTTCTCCATTGATAAGAACAACACTAATAGCACTACTCCTCATTTGTTGACCATCTCATTACCTGACACTTCACATAAAACAATAATAGTAAAAATCTACTATCCAAATACGTGTACTTTAGAGACGGAGCCCTAGGATAAGCACTGGACTTCTAGCCACATTGTTGGCAGTTCAAACTTACCAGTCGCTCCTTGGAAACCATTTACACAGTTTCTGTGAGTCAGAACTGAGTCTACAACACTTAACAACAATAGCAAATGTGCATCAGGTCATGATGAATGTCTAGCTGTGAAAAGTAACACGGCTGTGATGTATCAACTTGACTAGGTTAAGGTTGTGTGTCAACTTGACTAGGACATGAGTCTCAGTGGTTTGGCAGCTGTGTACTGAAGATGCATGTTGTGTTATGAAGATACATTTTGTGATCTGTTGTGGTGTGTTCATCCTCTATTTTCACATAACAACCTAGTTACTGGAAACTAACCATGATAATAAAAAAGGTAAAGGTAAACATTAAGGAAAACGTATTCTTTAGCTGCACAAAAAAGCCTGTGGAAGTACCTAAATTTCTTGTGTCGACCTCCCTTTCTGCTTTTCTTCCTTCTCCTGGATACTCAATAATGTTACCTTATCCATAGATGATCAGAAAAAACAATAACTAGTATGTTTTCTCAACCTTGGCCTGCTATGGATTAGCACTACAAATTCCTTGATTCTCTTTTTCCAGTGTCTCTCCTTCCCTCAAACAATACTATTTTTCCCTATTCTCCATCATTTATTTATTTTTCTGGTGTGTAAATAAAAATCTGATGATGTGAATTTAGTGTTTTCAAAGCATGTTCAGCATACACAGAATTCTATTACATTGAGGCTTTAGTAATCTTTAACAAGGTTCATTCTGGTCTAAGATCTACCTACCTCTTTGGGTGCTTCCTCCCAGAAGAATCTGAATACCTTCTTATTGGAGGCCCTTTAACTCATTGTAGTATATACTTCAAGGTTTAGGTTAATCTTCCACTCTCTTGGGAAGATCCTCTGTGTAGTTAGAGCTCCAAGAGTATACTTTATTACAGATTTATTCACAGTGCTTAAAAGATTATCAATTTTAAATTCAACTATGGTACTGGTGTGACACTGTAGCACAGAACTGCTAACAACAAAGTCAACATTTCAAACCCACCAGTCCCTCTTCAGAAACCCTTTATGGGTTTCAAACAACTCAACTGAACTTGGCAACAACAACATGTGATTTTTTGGTTGTTGACTATTCCCCCACTTGGCTCTGAGCTCTATGAGTATAACACTATGTTCACCTTCATCACTATTTTATCCCCAGGGTTTAATATAGTACCTGTATATTAATTGTTGATGTTAAGTGTTGTAGTGTTAGTTCAAATCATAGCAACCCAGTATAGGGTTTCCGAGGGGTGGCTGGTAGATTTGAACTTCTGACCTTGTGGTTCAAACTGAAG